TTTTTTTCCTTTTTTTTTTTTTTTTTTTTTAAACTTTTTTTTTTTTTTTTTTTCTAAATTTTTTTTTTCCAAACAAACCGGGGGGGGGGGGCAAGTGCCCCCCCCCCCCTTGCCCCTACCTGCGGGCGCCCATGATAATACTTACCGATACCTGACCACTTATGACAAAATTACTAAACTAAGAATGTTTCAACAAAATTGAAAGTCGAAATGACAAAAGGATTCACACCAATAGTAGTATTATAGGTGTGACAACAAAACTTCTAAAAATAAACTGATTACCACCACTATACTAGACTATAGCTCATATGAATATGATTTAAAAACTTAAAATTAAAAGAAAGCCAATCAATTAGATCTTGTTATATCGTTAAATAAATTCATATAGCTCATAATCATAAACAAATTTGAGCTTCTGTTTAGGCCTAACCAAGAATAATTGTAATGTGTCAAAGTTTCAACCTCCAGATAACGAGACACACGTAGTCGTAGTCACTTAGCTATTAGATAACTTATTCTATAAATAGTGTGGCGTAAGCATTTGCCAGGTTAGTGTTAGTTTTACATGGGCTTTTTTAAAAACGTTTATAATGAATTTATACTATTACGTAATACATAGCTGATTATGTAAACAATAAATTCATGCATGAAAATTTGCATGAATTAATTTTCATAATCATATTGATTCACTAATGTCATATTCTTAAAGCATTATAGTGAAAATAGTTTAAGAAAGAACAAAATTGCGTAGTGTCAATTGCAACAAGCCTAAAAGGCCAGTCGGTCTTAGGACTTTCCCCATTATTACGTTGAATACGGTGTCAAACCAAAATTGTGTACTATTTATTACAGCGTTGTCATCGTGACATTGATATGCGGCCAACACTACTCTGTCAATCAATTCATCATGTTCCAACCGAAGACCAACAGCAGTTGTCTTTCGGGCGAGAAAAAAATATATTCAGTTTTAATTAAAGTAATTGATAAAGAAGATGATAATGTAGAGAATATTGTGATGAGTAGTGAATTAATTCATCTTCTGGTTGAAAGTCCAAAGTCGGAAAATGGTAGATCGGATTATTCTGGTAAGTTCGATGATATCATCATGTAACTTAACTTGTGACTTGTGACTTTTTTAACTTGAGATCTTAGATGAAATTTTGTAAGATTATAAAATTTATTTTGGTAAATTTTAAGGACGAATGCCACTATTTTATCGAATTTTCACGAATGTATCCCTAAATCGATCCCTATGCCTATGCCCAACCTGAACCCTAAATCGATCCCTATCTATGCCATAGCCGATGGCATGCCTAACCTGAACCCTAAATCGATCCCTCAACCTAACCTAAACCCTAATTCACTGCAACTATTATAAACACACAAAAGACACCGTGGCATCCGCCCTTAATTTTAGCCTTTATTTTATGCATTAATTAATGTTTATTTTGAGTTTATTTTATCCTGATTTTATTATTTATAGTATAGGCCTCCGCCTACTTGTTATATTTATCAGAATCATTATTGTTACTTTGACTTTATTTTATATTACTACGTTAAGTAAGTACGTTTAGCCTTAGTGCCCTTAGTCTTAGTCACGGACTAGTGACTGTGTCTTATCGTCTTATGTCTTATGACATATAGGCCTATTTGTTATAAATTATTGTATAGTAATAATAGCCTTGGCCCATATTATATTTAATTATATCTTAATAAGATTCTTAGATATCGAGGCATATGCCATATTCATATATACAAGGCCTACTGACTACTGAGTTGTTAGTTGTTAGTATTATTCAAATTATTTATCTATATATTATATACTATTAATAATAATATCTCTCGTCATGTCATATGTGTTTTGCTTGTGGTGTGACTGCTTCCATTTCCGAATAACGCAAAAAATATAATTCCAGATAACTAAGCAAAATGATATTTTTGTAAAAATAACACATCTGCGTTTGTTGTGTAATATTTTATTTTCGGAAAATGAATTCGTCTCAATTTAAATATGGTGATGGTGTAATAAATATTCAGTTTAAAAGTTGTTTGGACGTTAGAATATTAATATAGTTCATGGGCGTGAAATAAAAAGTGTGCAGGGATGTATCATGGTGGGAAGGGGTGAAGCAAAAATTGGGATTCTTAAATGTGAGTTACTTGAGTTCATGTTTTGTCAAGTAACTTTAGTAGTAGATGGGAAGTTTAGCATTGCTGTTGCCAATGTTTGGCAAGCTATAACTAGTATATAATATACATTATTAATATATTTATTATATAAAATAAAAGCCTATACTACTACTAGCCTATGCTATATATTGCTACAGTGCCTATACTATATCAACCATATAATATATTAATATATAGTATAGCTCTTTTCCTGTAACAATAGTTATATTTAATACAATATACAATAAGCTATAGGATATGTTTGGAAGTACCACTGTCAAAATTGTAGGCTTAAGTATAGACAGTAATCTTAAGGTTTTATTAAGACTGTCTATATCTATACGTCTATATATTTCTTTTTTCTCATCAGATTCCCCCATTATAAAAATGGCCAAACTTCACGACATTACACAGAAAGCTTTGAATAAAGAGATAACTAGCGCCACTCCAAAAGATGAAAGAATCAAAAACCGCAAAAGATCCAAAAAACCTGTTGTTACATTTGAGCAAGCCAAACTGACAGTTTCAGACCCCTCTAAATTATTTGAGCAAGCTAAAGAGACTGTTGAAACTCTGACAGTGTCCTCTAACCATGAAATTGCGAATAAATTATTTGAGCAAGCTAAAGAGACTGTTGAAACTCTGACAGTGTCCTCTAACCATGAAATTGCGAACACTTTGTTAAGGAGTAATTTATCACATCAAGTACTTGAAAATGTGAATGCAAAAAGTAATAATTGTAAGTAATCATTTATTTGATTTTTTTTTTTCTTTCAATTTTCACACCATGTTTTCCTAAATATATATTTATATATATATATATTAATAAACCAAAAAAAATTATTTTATTATTTACTACCATATTATTCTTCCTTAGGACTTTTATCAAATTCATTGTTTCAATAAGGTCTATAGTTGCCTCTCCTTAGTGTATTTAATAAAAATATATTGTATAATCTCAAATCTTTTAAAGATTTAAAGTAATTGTTTTGGGTTTTTAAATAATTTCTTCTTTTTGATTTTGCAATTATTCAATATATTTAATTGTTGATCTCTTGCAGTTGTACCCAAAGAAATGTTGAATTCACATCCACAACACGACGGAGTATTCAATCAATATGGATGTAGCTATGTGTCTAAAAGGAAAGAGTTGAAAATGGAAAGGACAGCACCAAAGAAGAGAAAGAAAATATATACTGAAAACAGTGATCAAAATGGAATTAATTCGTCGACTAACCTGCCAACGAAAACTACAGAAATTTCTCCGTCAACCAACGTTGCGACAGAAAATTCAGAAATTGTTCAATCTTCTAACCTGGCCACAAAAACTGTTGACGCACAAGCTGCTAAAACATGCTGTGATGCCCAGGAGTTTGATGCTGTGTTTGCACTCCTTAGTCTTGGAAGCGATGCCTCTCAACCATCTGAGGAAATCTGTTCATCAAATCAAAATAAGCTCACCAAATGTCCTGCCGCAGGGCTTCTGTCTGAGTCCTCTACCAAAGGTCCTACCTCAGTGCTTGTGTCCGAGCCATCTAACAAAGGTCCTGTTGTCATTGAGAAACAGGTAAACATCAAATCAAAGAGTATGAACACTAATATAGGAGACCAAACTGTGATTTGTAACACGTTGACCTCAATTAATCAGAGTTGCAGCAGGATGGCTCTAACAAATTCTTCACCAACTGATAGCAGCGTTTCCCGAGTTAAATTCAGTGACAGCAGAGTATCCCCAAAAAATGAGAACAGGGTGGCTCTAACAAATCCTTCTCCACCTGACAGCAGGCTGGCCTTAACAAATAATCTACAAAATAATACTTATAAAGCAGATCTTAAATCAACTTCGTCCAAATCACCTGAGCAGCACTGTTCCAAGCCTGCGAATAGACAAATGGCCACTGGTCAAGAGAAACATGGCGATGGGGAAGACAGTATGAACATGGGCAAAGTTTCAAATAAAATGAGTTTGCCTTGTGTTGACAATGCAGTCTTGTCTGAACCCTGTTTACAGTCAGATAACAAGATCACAACACCTGCTCAAATCATAAGGCTTGATAGAAACATTGAACCCTGTGCTGAAGTAACAAGACTTGATAGAAACATTAAACCCTGTGCTGAGGTAACAAGATTTGATAGTAACATTGAACCCTGTGCTGAAGTAATAAGACTTGATAGAAACATTGAACCCTGTGCTGAAGTAACAAGACTTGATAGAAACATTGAACCCTGTGCTGAAGTAACAAGACTTGATAGTAACATTGAACCCTGTGCTGAAGTAACAAGACTTGATAGAAACATTGAACCCGGTGCTGAAGTAACAAGATTTGATAGTAATATTGAACCCCCTGTTCAAATAACAAGACTTGGTAGTAACATTGAAGCCTGTTCTGAAGTAACAAGACTTGATAGAACCATTGAACCCTGTGCTGAAGTAACAAGACTTGATAGAACCATTGAACCCTGTGCTGAAGTAACAAGACTTGATAGAACCATTGAACCCTGTGCTGAAGTAACAAGACTTGATAGAAACATTGAACCCTGTTCTGAAGTAACAAGACGTGATAGTAACATTGAACCCCCTGCTCAAATAACAAGACTTGATAGAAACATTGAACCCGGTGCTCAAGTAACAAGATTTGATAGTAATATTGAACCGCCTGTTCAAATAACAAGACTTGATAGTAACATTGAAGCCTGTTCTGAAGTAACAAGACTTGATAGAACCATTGAACCCTGTGCTGAAGTAACAAGACTTGATAGAACCATTGAACCCTGTGCTGAAGTAACAAGACTTGATAGAAACATTGAACCCTGTTCTGAAGTAACAAGACTTGATAGTAACATTGAACCCCCTGCTCAAATAACAAGACTTGATAGAACCATTGAACCCTGTGCTGAAGTAACAAGACTTGATAGTAACATTGAACCCTGTGCTGAAGTAACAAGACTTGATAGAAACATTGAACCCTGTTCTGAAGTAACAAGACGTGATAGTAACATTGAACCCCCTGCTCAAATAACAAGACTTGATAGAAACATTGAACCCGGTGCTCAAGTAACAAGATTTGATAGTAATATTGAACCGCCTGTTCAAATAACAAGACTTGATAGTAACATTGAAGCCTGTTCTGAAGTAACAAGACTTGATAGAACCATTGAACCCTGTGCTGAAGTAACAAGACTTGATAGAACCATTGAACCCTGTGCTGAAGTAACAAGACTTGATAGAACCATTGAACCCTGTGCTGAAGTAACAAGACTTGATAGAAACATTGAACCCTGTTCTGAAGTAACAAGATTTGATAGTAATATTGAACCCCCTGTTCAAATAACAAGACTTGATAGTAACATTGAACCCTGTTCTGAAGTAACAAGACTTGATAGAATCATTGAACCCTGTTCTGAAGTAACAAGACTTGATAGAACCATTGAACCCTGTGCTGAAGTAACAAGACTTGATAGAACCATTGAACCCTGTGCTGAAGTAACAAGATTTGATAGTAATATTGAACCCTGTTCTGAAGTAACAAGACTTGATAGAATCATTGAACCATGTGCTGAAGTAACAAGACTTGATAGAACCATTGAACCCTGTGCTGAAGTAACAAGACTTGATAGAAATATTGAACCCTGTGCTGAAGTAACAAGACTTGATAGAAATATTGAACCCTGTGCTGAAGTAACAAGACTTGGTAGTAACATTGAACCCTGTTCTGAAGTAACAAGATTTGATAGTAACATTGAACACCCTGCTCAAATAACAAGACTTGCTAAAAGTGAAAGGATTCTAGACAGTTCTCAATATCCTATTGCTGGGTATGTGTTGCTAGTGGAAAAGTCTGTTGCTATTGCCCCAAGTACTGTGCACATGACACATGGATCTATTGCCCCAAGTACTGTGCACATGACACATGGATCTATTGCCCCAAGTACTGTCCACATGACACATGGATCTATTGCCCCAAGTACTGTCCACATGACACATGGATTGATTGCCCCAAGTACTGTGCACATGACGCATGGATCTATTGCCCCAAGTACTGTCCACATGACACATGGATCTATTGCCCCAAGTACTGTCCACATGACACATGGATCAAATGGTGTCCCTAACTTGGAGCGTGTTAAGACAAAGCCTGAAACAAATGAATGGATTCATCGTGATGGAAGAATTGTTTCAAAACCCATCTACATATCAAGCAGTGATGATGAAACAACTACTGCCGAAAGGAAGACACATACAGAACAGCATTATGGCAAAAGGAAGACAAATATAGAGCAGCATTATGGCAAAAGGAAGACAACTGCAGAACAGCATTATGGCAAAAGGAAGTCTACTACAGAACAGCATTATGGCAAAAGGGAGACTAAGAGAATGAAAACTTTTATCACAGACAATGGGAATTCAGTTCATTCTAGTGTCACTGTCACATGCACACAGCCCACATATCAATCATGCCAGCCTGTTTACACAGTATGCCCTGTCTCTCTTTCATTAGTTCAATCTGGTGGCACCGTCCCATGCACACAGGTCACTTATCGGAGTAACCCCTTGTCACCCAGTTTTGGGTCATCTTGTCAGCGGGCCAACTTGAGGTGTCCAGATCAGCATAAAGCTGTTCCTACCCGCACGGATACAGCTGTCCTCCCTCCTGACAAAAGGGTTCTCCTGTTAGCAAAGCAAAGGGCTCTTGTCGGTGTGGGTGTTTCAGATAATATTAGGGTAATACCTACTCCTACTGGCAATCTGAATAGGGTAATATCCACATCAAATGGCATTCAAGATAGGGGATTACCCACATCAAGTGGCAATCATGATAGGGGATTACCCACACCATTGGTTCATGTTGCCACGTCAACAAGGAATGAACCAGAGCTAGAGGAAACATTTTTGGCAAGAAATGTTTTGAAACATGCCAGGAATGCTACACAGATGAAGTCCAAAACAAAACCTTACAGTGAAAAGCATAAGAATTGGCCCGAAGAATACGAATTTACAAAGCTGAGAGCCCCTGCCATTGCGACTCCTGTGGGGGTCAACACTGCCAGACCGGCTCCAAATGTGATTTTTCTGACTGACCACTCTCATGCTAATAAAACTATCTACAAGACAAGCTTGGGCCTGCACAATGCCAATGGGTTATTGCAGCCAAACCTCGTTTGTTTTTTAGATAACAAAGACCTTTCAATTACGTGTCGGAAATCCTCTTCTGACCGTTTGGATGATACAAAGTCTCGCACCGATCCGTTTCCTTCTAAACATGTGGAGTGTGTTAAAAACATGGATTGTTACCCAGTTGTTGTTGGCCACCGAAAAGCTTTGGAAAGTTCTCCAAGTCCACAGGGACCTTGTGATAGAACTGAAATACAATATTCAGCACTTGATCTACGCAAGCGCAAGATGGTCAATGGCTCAGCTGGACATAAGCCTATGGATTTTGGTGATGATTTGCAGAAAACCTGTAACACAATGACTGAGTATCCGAGCACCAGCCCAGTCAATATTCTGACTTCTTATAATCCATTGACTTCTACACTGACTTCTTATAATCCATTGACTTCTACAAGTACTTCAGCTGAATCAGACTTTCATAGAATGACCACACCACAGCCATGCAAAGATTCTGATGCTGTGAGCAATAGACTGACCACAGTCCAGCCCTGCATAGATTTTGATGCTATCCACACTGAAAGACAAGAAGATACAATTGAGAAACAGGAGATAGAGTCACATAAATCAAGAGGGCTGATGTCCTATGAAAAACAGGACAAGAGACTAGACACGTCACTTACTAAATCATTAGGTACGTTAATGAATTATACTGGTGGTGTAATCATTTGGCTGGTGGTATAATCATTTGGCTGGTGGTGTAATCATTTGACTGGTGGTATAATCATTTGACTGGTGGTGTAATCATTTGGCTGGTGGTATAATCATTTGGCTGGTGGTGTAATCATTTGGCTGGTGGTGTAATCATTTGGCTGGTGGTGTAATCATTTGGCTGGTGGTATAATCATTGGCTTGGGTTCAGTTCTGGGTTTTATTTTTGGTCAAAACAACTTTACTTTTTCTTGGCCTTGTATTATATTGTTTTCTAAGATACCCATGTCACACCATAAATGATACTGTAAATACATATGTTTGACATTGTGAGTTACTCAACATTGTGACTTACTCGACATTGTGACTTACTCAACATTGTGACTTACGTGACATTGTGACTTACTCGACAGTCCTAAAGAATTTTCTGTAATTTTAACAGCTTATTTCTCATGCCTCAAAAAATCATGAAAATGGATTTACCCATGAGTTACTTGTTTCTTTTTTAGAAGAGATCTTATCCCAGAGAATAGAAGGCTGTGAGAATACTGACATTAAAACTTGGTTGAAACATAGCAACTTAACTGATTGGATTCCAGTGTAAGTACACATATAACATTCAATGTAGATTGGATTCCAATATAAATACACAGATAATATTCAATGTAGATTTCATGCAACTGTAAGTACACAAATGCAACACATTGTAGATTTGATTCAAATGTAATTACACAGATAATATTCTATGGACATTTGATACAACTGTAAGTACACATATATTACACATTGTAAATTTGATTCCAATGTATGTACACAGATAATAAACGATGTAGATTTGATCCCTATGTAAGTAGACAGATAATACACATTTTGGATTTGATTCCAATGTGTGTTCACAGATAATGCACATTCCAATGTATGTACACAGATAATGCACATTCCAATGTATGTACACAGATAATACACAATGTAGATTTGATTCCCATGTAAGTTCATGTTTATTGCTTAATGTTAAATTTTAGGATCATCTGAACAGGACTTGATTGTAGTTTTCTTTTAGTAATTGCTATCTGAGGATATTGTAGAAAATACTTTCTGTATATGATTTTCTCCAAATGCTAAACTGAACATGTTCTCACGTGGCCATAGGGAAAATGCTAAACCTAATCAAATGTTGTGAGTGGGGGGGGGGGTATATTTGTGCTAGAAATTCTTCAAAGAAAATTGCCAAAACTGCCCATGCATTGAATTGNCCCCTGCACAGAATTTTCTTTACATGACAATGTCTGAACTGCTCCAGTACTGAATGCTCATTTGAGAAAAGATCTGTTTTTATGTTAATTTAATAGATCTAAACTATCCCATAATTCTCCAGATGCATTTCCTTAAAGTAGTTAAAGTAGTTTACATGCGTGGTTGACAAAGGTGACACCTAACTGCTTGAGTTTTCATTCAACTTTTTGTTGTTGTTATGTTGCTTTCATTAACATCATTCAATTACTGATAAAAGTTTTGTTAGCAACTTTGTCAACTTAATGTCATCATTTACATTGATAGAGAATACAGAAAAGGTTGTTGTGTTTTTAAATATTTCATTTTTATGTCAACCCATGCTAAAATTTTTTTATTTTTCATGTGGTAGACAAAAACATATTTATTTCTTCTTCTTTCTTCTTTATTTTGAGGGCCCAGGATCAATGAATTCATTATTCTGCCGCCTATATATATTTCATTTATAGAAACTTAGAACGTGTAATTGATTTTACATATACTTTTAATAGGCAACTTGATTCATCAATTCAAGAATCTGTTAATATTCCTCAAAAAATTGTTGCAGTCATTTTAAATAAGTTATAATTTAATATCTTTTTGTTTTTGGTTTTCAAGAGATAGCTTGACATCTAAGGATGAGGACTATCTTCATGACTTAAAAATGCTTCAACAATCAAAACCCAAGCTGTTTTTTGACCTCCTGAACTCCATTGGGATTTCCCTTCAAACATTCATGAAATTTTCAAGTTTATTAAGGCAGCTGAACGAGGAGATACTAAAACACAAAGAACAGGTGTAGATATACCAACAGGAAAAAACTGTGCATGTATAAAATTGTATGCTGAGCAGCAGATGAAATTAATCATATATTTTGTTCTTTATTATTTTGTCAAAGTACCCAGTATTGTGTGAATTTTTATAAATTATACATATTTTTTAAAATGAAGTTATCCAAAACCTGTGTTAGAGGATGTACGCATCAAATTAATGTTAATCGCATTAAAAATATGTACACATGAGATTAATGTTATCACATTCAAGAATATGTACACATTAAATTAAATTTTATCACATTCCAAAAGATGTACACATTAAATTAATGCTTATCACATTCACCTGTATGTTTAGAGATGTGTTTGAGTTGACAGAATATGGACTGTGATTTTTTTTATCTTAATTATGTTAAATAATGTACATTGACTTTGGACATTTTTGTGCCATTTTTACATTTTTGATTTACATTTTAAGACCGTAGTTCTTTTGATTTGTTCTTATGAAGTTTTTAACCAAATTTAGATAATAAATTTATAAATAAAATTTTTTTAAAGTAGTTAATGCTTTCGTTTTTTATCATTTTTGTTCAAGTTATAAAATGATGGAATCATTTAATGGTTCCACAATTATTAAGTTATTGTTTACCTCAGGTTTCATTTTAAAACCTGGCCACACCTGTTTGCCAGTACATGGAATCATCATTGTAAATAGTCTTCCTTAGTTAGCAGAGGTATTACCTATAGACTCACTGAATTCAATTTCATTACCAGACTTGCTAGCTTCAATTTAATTTATTAAACCGACTCACTAGCTTCATTTCACTTTAGTAAACAGACTCACTAACTTCACTTTACTAAACAGACTCACTAGCTTCACTTTACTTTAGTAAACAGACTCACTAGCTTCACTTCACTTTAGTAAACAGACTCACTAACTTCACTTTACTAAACAGACTCACTAGCTTCACTTTACTTTAGTAAACAGAGTCCTGTATTGTAAATTTTGGGACAAGTACCTGATATTAAGAGATCGAGTACAGACCTCAATGAAAAGAGGGCAAGGTACAAGCTGTGTTTGCTGGTAGTTAGTTCAATGAATAGAAACCAAGATAGAAGCTGTGTTTGTTGGTAGTTAGTCCAATGAATAGAAACCAAGATAGAAGCTGTGTTGTTGGTAGTTAGTCCAATGAATAGAAGCTGTGTTTGTTGATAGTTAGTTCAATCAATAGAAACCAAAATATGTAAGCTGTGTTTGTTGATAGTTAGTTCAATGAATAGAAACCAAGATAGAAGCTGTGTTTGTTGATAGTTCAATGAATAGAAATCAAGATAGAAGCTGTGTTTGTTGATAGTTCAATGAATAGAAAACCAAGACAGAAGCTGTGTTTGTTGATAGTTCAATGAATAGAAACCAAGATAGAAGCTGTGTTTGTTGATAATTCAATGAATAGAAACCAAAATATATAAGCTGTGTTTGTTGATAGTTAGTTCAATGAATAGAAACCAAGATAGAAGCTGTGTTTGTTGATAGTTCAATGAATAGAAATCAAGAAATAAGCTGTGTTTGTTGATAATTCAATGAATAGAAACCAAAATATATAAGCTGTGTTTGTTGATAGTTAGTTCAATGAATAGAAACCAAGATAGAAGCTGTGTTTGTTGATAGTTCAATGAATAGAAATCAAGAAATAAGCTGTGTTTGTTGATAGTTCAATGAATAGAAATCAAGAAATAAGCTGTGTTTGTTGATAGTTCAATGAATAGAAAGCAAGATGTAAGCTGTGTTTGTTGATAGTTCAATGAATACAAACCAAGATATATAAGCTGTGTTTGTTGATAGTTAGTTCAATGAATACAAACCAAGATAGAAGCTGTGTTTGTTGATAGTTAGTTCAATGAATACAAACCAAGATATAAGCTGTGTTTGTTGATAGTTAGTTCAATGAATACAAACCAAGATAGAAGCTGTGTTTGTTGATAGTTAGTTCAATGAATAGAGACCAAGATAGAAGCTGTGTTTGTTGATAGTTCAATGAATAGAACAAAGATAGAAGCTGTGTTTGTTGATAGTTAGTTCAAAGAATACAAACCAAGATTGAAGCTGTGTTTGTTGATAGTCCAATGAATACAAACCAAGATAGAAGCTGTGTTTGTTGATAGTTAGTTCAAAGAATACAAACCAAGATTGAAGCTGTGTTTGTTGATAGTCCAATGAATACAAACCAAGATAGAAGCTGTGTTTGTTGATAGTTAGGAACGCTTCTTTAAGTACGGTATTTTTAAAAATAATCATCGAACATGAGAGTGCGTGTCAAAACGAATTCTGTGTTCTTCTGATGAATCTCCATATCAACTGATGTGATTATTTTGACCACGAAGGAAGAACTCCACGTCAGTGCTGCTGGTTCTCTGTCATGAAACACATCAAGTTAAACAACACGTGACTCACTGACTGGTTAACATTTAGGACATCTTTTGAGGGCAGTTGCTATCGAAAAGTACCTCAAATTAAGAGAACTGCCAGGTACACAGAGGTTCTCATTAGTTATCTATTGAACGCAAAATATATGATTTAAAGAAGAGCTAGAGTTTTTAATTATCTTTATTTACATTCTTGATGAGATGATAATGTTATTGGATATATGATTCTTTAAGCATACACAATGTAAGTATTTTTCTTAAAGTAAAAAAAAAAACCCCCCAAAAAACCACATTCTTTTGAGATGTCACGTGTGGCCCACGGCTTCGCGGGATTTAAAATTTTTTTTTTTAATGAGACCAAGGAATCAAGAAGGTGGACAGCACTGTCCTAGATCCTCTTGCACGCCAGCCAGAAGAGTCTCATTTCAAATGGCAGTAAGTCTCTGAGTGTCATGGTGAGGGTGAATCCTGTTGTTGTTATATTGTCAACGGAAAGGGCCGAATTGACCCCAGCAAAGACAGCTGACCCCGTCTGTCCGGCCACGACGGTTGGGGGATCATTGAATGCTTTCTTGAAAGCAACAGGTAGGACCTTGACCGTGACGTCACCCGAGTCCAGCTGAGATTGTGTGCAGTTGGTCAGTGCAATAGACGTACCTGCAACAGCAGAAGGAAATAAATGATTATCACAAATTTATGTACCACTAGTACCAGCATCATTGGCACAAATATATGCCACAAGTACCAGTCTGAATAGTACAATTATGTACAACTAGTAACCGTATGATTGTCAGAAGTATGTATAACTAGTAACCGTATGATTGTCAGAAGTATGTACAACTAGTAACCGTATGATTGTCAGAAGTATGTACAACTAGTAACAGTATGATTGGCACAAGTATGTATAACCACTACCAGCATGATTAATAAATTAGTACTCTAAGTTAAAAGTATATACCACTAGTACCAGCATGATTAGCAAACGTATGTACAAATAGTACCAGCATGATTGGCACAAGTATGTACAAATAGTGCCAGCATGATTAGTACATGTACATCTAGTACCAGCATGATAAATACAAATTGGTATTACAAGTATATACAACTATTACCAGCATGATTAGTACATGTACAACTAGTACCGCATTATTAGTAGCCTACATGTACAACTAGTACTAGCTTGAAAATACACAACCTATGTAAAAGGCTCCATCAGTAAACAAAACTGATCAATTATGTAAAAGGCTCCATCAGTAAACAAAACTGATCAATAATGTAAAAGGGTCCATCAGTAAACAAAACTGATCAATAATGTAAAAGACTCCATCATTAACAAAACTGATCAATAATGTGAAATGACGTGGTAATGTTGCCCATAGAGAGTTAGATTCAAATGTCACTCATTCATTGGGAACTGAATTGGGACACCAAGCGTAGTAATAGTACCGGTAGGCCTACATTACATTGGGACAAGACACTCTTCGAATATCAGACAATAGCATTTAATACACGATTACTTTATTTACAAATAACTGATAATATTTAAAAAAATAAAATTTGCAATAAATAACATTAAAATTAAATAAGCACAACAGATCGCAATCAGAATTTTAAAATATTTTTTTTTAAAGTTTTAGGTTCAACAAATGTGGAAAGGGGAATGGTCTCGAGGTCATTAATCGGGAATAATCTCAGCAAAAAACAAACATCTATCATAATTGTGTATATAAGTGTATTACTCTTATTTGATTCTTAAGAGCAACATAATTTCTTATCGTCCACATTAGTCCACAATGTAAAACCAGTTGTCAGTAAAAAAAAAAAAAAAAAAAAAAAGTTTAGGCCTAATACTAATATTATTCTTAGCGGTTAGTGTTAAGTTAATTTAGTTAAAAAGCGTGGCATATGAAATAAAATATAATGTGGGTTGGAGCTTTAAAAAAAAAACTTCTTTAGTTGTGGTTAGTGGCGTCCGTTGCTAAGGTTAGTACCGTCAGGGACAGGCCAACGTTTTTGCAACCCCCTTGCCCTTACATGAAATGCAAACAAAATGCTCGAAAATACTGCCCCGCCTCAATAAAATGATTAAAATATTAATAAATTGAAGAATATGCCGCCCCTGCTCCCTCTTGTTTTGGGGTAATAAACACTAAACTAATATTTACTCACAATTAGAAATAAGGTTATGGATTTATTGTGTTTATGTCACAGGGGAACGGCTGCATCACAACAAAATCTTCGTACGCCCTCCTTGGGGATTACCCAATCTTTGGGGATTCCCCGTTTAGGCCTTTCATTTGGGTTTATCCCAAGACTTTTTGTAAACTCAAGACTTCCCATCTCGGGGAATCCCGGGTACACACTTTAACAATATCATTTCCTTGTTTTTTTAAATAAATTTGAGTAAGTCGCGCATTGTAACAAATGGTCGACGTAAGCCAATCTCTGTAAACTGTAGTAAACTGTGCTGAATAAGTAAGTTCAGTAGCCCTAGTTACACAGGTTCTAAAGCGGTTTCATGTGACGACGACATTCTAATAGAATAAACAAAGTGTTCTTATAACGCGATAGGCAAGGTGGTGTAAATTGCCCTAAATTGTGTAAATAAGGAAATATTTGTGGCAATGAGGGTTTAATAGACAAAAATAAAAATTATACTTAAAGAATTCGTTTTTTTACACAATATTTTTTTCTGGCTATACTGCATCTGTCCAGTGAAAATTTGAAACGCATCCAGCATGTCCTAGTTACAAGATTACAAGTGGCTTGGCAGTGAGCATATGCTCACCTCTCACCTCTCACACTCGCGTCTTTTGACCGAGTCACCTATTTTATATGATGCTGAGTGGCACCACTAAAGTTGGTGTCACCCAGTGCAGTAAACTCAATATTCACCCCATGGAGACTTCTCAACGGACCTCCTACGAGTCATCCTGCTCTGGTGTCACCCTGCTCTGGTGTCACCCTGCTCTGGTGTTACCCTGCTCTGGTGTCAACCTGCTCTGGTGTCATCCTGCTCTGGTGTCACCCTGCACTTATGACAACTTGCTCTAATTGTATCCTTCTCTGGTGGTATCCTGCTCTGGTGGTACCTACTCTTGTGATATCCTGCTCTGATGGTATCCTGTTCTGATGACAGATGACACCCTGCTCTCGCATTTTAGATGCATTATGAAACCCACTTGATCGACCTCTGTCAAATTTACTATTATTCATTTGGTGCCCCCCCCCCGAGAAGGTGTTATCCCTTTCAGGCTATCCGGAGTGCGGTCCGTACCTCCACTCCCCCTAGTGACGCTACTGCTTGTGCCCCAAACGTCAAGGTGCCCCCCTCCCCTATTTTTCAAACTGTCTGGAGTGCGGCCAGTACCTCCACACCCTCTTGTCAATAATTATTAGTCTTTTTCCACCCTCTCCCCCTATTTTGTTGACGTAAGTAATGGAGTGCTTGACTGTTACAATAGGTAACATGACTTACCAATTGATGTAATCACAGACCGTCACATTAGGTAACATGACTGACCAATTGATGTAATCACATACTGTTACATTAGGTAACATGACTTACCAATTGATGTAATCACAGACTATCACATTAGGTAACATGAATTACCAATTGATGTAATCACAGACTGTCAAATAAATGACTAACCATTACTGTCATCACAGGCTGTCACATTTATGACTTACCATTACTGTCATCACATACTGTCACATTAATGAATCCAGAGTCGCAGCCTGACTGCCTCTCTACCTTCTGTAACCTTTGACCCAAAGACTTGATATAGCCCAGAAGCACTCGGTAGGCAGCTGGTGAGAAAATAACAAGTAGTTGTTACTTAACTAGTGAGATAATTGTGGGTTGTAACTGTGCATGCAATCAGCCCAATATGTCAACAGACACACCCATACACAGACACACATAGAGAGAGACACACAGAGACCCACACACAGAGACGCACACAGAGAGACCAAGGCACACACAAACATCTTATCACCACTCACTGTTTAAGTACACATTCATCATAACACGTCTATATTTGTAAACACACACACACACATCTTATCACCACTCACTGTTTAAGTACACATTCATAATAACACGTCTATATTTGTAAACACACACACACATCTTATCACCACTCACTGTCTAAGTACACATTCATCATAACACGTCTATTTTTGTAAACACACACATCTTATCACCACTCACTGTCTAAGAACACATTCATCATAACACGTCTATATTTGTAAACACACACGCGCATCTTATCACCACTCACTGTCTAAGTACACATTCATCATAACACGTCTATATTTGTAAATACACACACACATCCTATCACCACTCACTGTCTAAGTACACATTCATCATAACACGTCTATATTTGTAAACACACACATCTTATCACCACTCACTGTCTAAGAACACATTCATCATAACACGTCTATATTTGTAAATACACACACACATCCTATCACCACTCACTGACTACGTAAACATTCATCCCGACACTTCTACATTTGTAAGCCAACACATTCTCATCTTACCGCTGTCACCATCCCGATCCCTGCGGTACCCTGAGGAAAAAGATCAGATTATTCTCATTACACCAAGTGCATCCTGGATTTTGATGAGGGATTATGATGTACTATAAACATTACATTAACATACATATCCATTGATGTGTAGTCCTTACTCGGTAGATTTTGGACGGCAAAAACACTACACACCATACAAGTGGTTTCACACACATCACCTGGTCTAATAAGTCACTAGATCACAGATTCCCAGCCCGTTATAAGTGACCCCCAGTGGGGTTGCCAAGGGATTTCTATTAGAAGTTTTCTATGGGGTCGCCGTTTGAAGCACTGGACCAGTGGTCGCCAAATCGTGGCTCGAGAGCCGCATGTGGTTCTTTAGCGATCTGAGTTCGGCTCGGCCAGTCAGACACAAATGGGATTTGACTCCGAAAAACATGGTACTTGAAAATAAATTTGGCTCTTAAACTTTTTTTAAAAAAATCGTCCCGATGCTGATTCTTGGCTCTTTTGACTAATGAGTTTTCCGACCACTGCACTAGACTCCGACCACTGCACTAGACTCCGACCACTGCACTAGACTAAGAGAAACTGGAAAGTTCAAAGTATTATTTTCTAATTCTTGTCTCATAGTTTCAAACATCAAATATGTCATCAAATATGTCATCAAATAGTCATCAAGTATGTTATCAAATAGGTCATCAAAAAATGTCATCAAATATGTCATCAAATATGACATCAAATATGTCATCAATATTTAATCAAGTATGTTATCAAATAGGTCATCAATATAAGTCGTCAAATATTCCATGAAATACGTTATCAAATAGACATTAAGTATGTTATCAATTAGGTCATCAAATATGGCATCGATATGTCATTAATTACAAAGCTAAAAATATATTTTGTATTTGTTTTTTATTTCCAGGACTTGACCCTATCCAAACGGCTTTGTTTTCACTCTATCGCGGTCATGTTCATTTTGTCTCTGTTTAAATTTGGTATTGACTTGACAACGCTTCAGGAAACGTGTGTACTAGAGCTACTGAGCGCAAACATGCGGTGCAGTTATCTCAGTTTTACATGTCCAGACTTGTAGTGACAATCTGTCATTTGCTGAATGTAGTGATAATCTGTCATTTGATGTATGTAGTGACTATTTGTCATTTGATAAATGTAGCGACCATCTGTCATTTGATGTATGTAGTGATAATCTGTCATTTGATGAATGTAGTCACCATCTGTCATTTGCTGAACTTGAATCCAATTAAAAACAAACAAAACCAACCAGAACATTTGTCATCTAAAAATGTGGACCCGGGATTTTTCGGTACGGAACAATTCCCTAGGAAGTCTTTTATTTCATACTAAAAATAGTGTGGGATCCGGAGATCCCGCTTGAGAAACCTTGATATGTACTCAAGGTAATGCACAAGGTTGATCAACGGCCAGTGGTTCGAAACTAGGCCGACAGGAGGAGAAGGGAAAAAGGGGGGTTAGGGGTGTAAAGCCTAACTTGGATATTAAGTGATCGTTAAATAAATTATTCCCAAGAGAAGGAAAGGTGGGGGAAGGGACATCTAAAGACTTCACTATTGTCTGATTTCACTCGAGATTCCAGAGACCCAATGCTGTCATATGTCAACTATAGACTTCACTATTGTCCCATTTCACTCGAGATTACAGAGACCCAGTGCGTCATATGTCATCTAAAGACTCCACTATTGTCCCATTTCACTCAAAACTCCAGAGACCCCGTGCTGTCAATTGTGTATATTGAGACAACGCCCCGTAGCTTGTAGTACACATCATCTACAATCTACAATGTCGCATGACGTAACTGCTCGGTGCCAACTGGAGTGTTACAGTTATAGGTAATTCCTTTGTTAATGTGCAAACTTATGTAACAAAGTATATAATGTACCAACGTATCCTATAGATATATAAAAATATTTTGTTACTGTACCAAGTAATGTTATAGATATATCTAGACACTTTGTTTCTGTACCAACTAATGCTAAAGTCATATCAACTTACTTTGTTAATGTACACATTTATATAACAAAGTATATATTGTGTGAATTAATGCTATAGGTATATCAACATATTTTGTTATTGATACATAGTTATTTAAACATGTCTCGTTTCCGTAACAACTAATGTTATTTCAACATATTTTGTTACTGCAACAACTAATGTTATAGATATATCAACATAGTTAGTCACTGTATGAACTATTGCTATAGTTACATCAACATATATGGCTACTGTAGCAACGTTTACCTCCACTATATCCTGTAGAATGTGCAGTGTCTGGTAGCCACACTGTCATTATTACGACACAGAGTACCACACACACCGGCAGCTTGGTGACGCCCATGGTATTACGAATTTACAGTATCTGCCAGCCGTGGGGGGAAAACAAATCCAATTTCGTTACGGTGATGTTGATATTGTGGATGTTTTAGCAACAAAAAAAAAAGAAAAGAAATGATTTTAAAAAGATTTTTAGCCCACCAAAATCGTTAGTTTCTGTTATAAAAGTGGTCCTCAAAATTTCAGCTATGATGGACCGCCGGGCATTGGTCACATTTCACCACGTACTGGTAAACAGTTGGTGGCTTATTGCTTGTTTCATCGAGTTTCTTAGTCGTTTCCCCTTCGGCGGACCTGAGCCAGTCCGCGGATCACCACAATGAGGTGCACTATTTTATGATACCAATAATACTTTGCGGAATTAAAGGGAAAAACTATTGTATGAGAACCCTGTATACAAAATATATGTCTTGGTACGGTTAAAATCAATAACATATAACATTAATATCCGTACACCCCCCACCCCACACACACACTTTTTCCCCTAAAAAAGGGAAACACACCAATCATTAAACACACCAATCATTAAACACACCAAGCATTAAACACATTGTTAATTAAACACACCCTTATTAAAGAAAATACATTAAACGGAAGGAGAATATCATTATCCAGATAACTAAAAAACTAATCAGGCAAATTTGTTAAATTTTATTTTATTTTTAGGTCTAATTCACCTTGTGTATCATCACAATAAGATGTCTAACCAATGCCAGGCACCCTGTATTGATCTAATTGATGTAGACTGTCACCACAATAAGATTTCTAACCAATGCCAGGCACCCTGTATTGATCTAATTGATGTAGACTGTCACCACAATAAGATGTCTAACCAATGCCAGGCACCCTGTATTGATCTAATTGATGTAGACTATCACCACAATAAGATGTCTAACCAATGCCAGGCCCCCTGTATTGATCTAATTGATGTAGACTATCACCACAATAAGATGTCTAACCAATGCCAGGCCCCCTGTATTGATCTAATTGATGTAGACTATCACCACAATAAGATGTCTAACCAATATAAACCACCCGGTGAATTACCCAATTACCTTTGTCCAATGCAAAAAAAAATTCATGAATGAATTGAAGTTACCTATTTCCCTGTTACTGACACGCCCCGTCCATTCGCAAGTTTTATAGGGCACCCCAACCGCTGGGATGACGTCGGAGGTTCAACAATAACATCGGCGACATCCGCCAAGCTGATTTAGGGCAAACCATTCTTGTTGGTTAAGAGCAGGGGTCCCCAGCCTGTGCTTCGAGCGACCTTCGCACGGCCTCCGCTCCAGGGAACAACGGAACACCGCACACATAAGGGTTCCCTGGTTGAAAATGATATTTAAAAAGGGGTACGTGAATCAAACATGTTGGTAACCACTGAGCTGGGGTAATTTTTAAATTATCATTATAGTTATTATTATTATTATCATCTTATTATTATTTTGATTAGTATTATTATTATCTTATTATTATTTTGATTATTATTATTATCATCATCATAAAATCATAATTATTAAAATTATTATCATAATCATTCTTGTAAAATAAATTGGAATCAACTAAAATTGCTATTTAATCAAAGTGTTTTATTGTCAAATGTACTTTTAAAACTCAGATCATCTCCCCCATCAAAGCGGGGTAATACAAGAAGGGCCGTGCGAGGAGGGAACGAAGGGGGAAATCGCCATGAGCGCCAACATCAGGAGGTAACCACAATAGCCCTTAGGTCGGATCTTAATAGGGAATTAAACGATAAAGTCCCATGTTCAAAACATAGAAATGGGGCGTCAAAATCGGTTTTTACCGGTTCGCCCCTGGAGGCACTTTTCCTCGGCACGGCCCTGAATTTGATGCACTAGTTAATCTTTAAAGGTAACTTGAAATGTATTACCACCACGACCCCCCACCCCCCCTCCCATCAGAACCTGATACCAATTTGCATTTTTTGTGTGTATGTTTGTAAACAATTTCTGAAGAAAAAATGTTGGGTCAAGGTCAAGGTCCCAACCAACAAAAAACACGAACACTAACTATCACATTTCTAAGTACAATCACCAATCTTTCAATCAGCCCAAGATTCAGCAATCTTTCAATCAGCCCAAGATCCACCAATCTTTCAATCAGCCCAAGATTCACCAATCTTTCAATCAGCCCACGATTCACCAATCTTTCAATCAACCCAAGATTCACCAATCTTTCAATCAGCCCAAGATTCACCAATCTTTCAATCAGCCCAAGATCACCAATCTTTCAATCAGCCCAAGATTCACCAATCTTTCAATCAGACCAAGATTCACCAATCTTTCAATCAGCTTAAGTTTCAACAATCTTTCAATCAGCCCAAGATTCACCAATCTTTCAATCAGCCCAAGATCCACCAATCTTTCAATCAGCCCAAGATCCACCAATCTTTCAATCAGCCCAAGATCCACCAATCTTTCAATCAGCCCAAGATCCACCAATCTTTCAATCAGCCCAAGATCCACCAATCTTTCAATCAGCCCAAGATCCACCAATCTTTCAATCAGCCCAAGATCCACCAATCTTTCAATCAGCACAAGATCCACCAATCTTTCAATCAGCACGAGATTCACCAATCTTTCAATCAGCCCAAGATTCACCAATCTTTCAATCAGCCCAAGATTCACCAATCTTTCAATCAGCCCAAGATTCACCAATCTTTCAATCAGCCCAAGATTCACCAATCTTTCAATCATCCCAAGATCCACCAATCTTTCAATCAGTCCAAGATTTCCCTTTAATGCATGCACGCGGTGCAGTGCATCGTAGTGTAAACCACCTTTATGCTTTCAATAATATCCTGTTGTGGGCGGGGCATGCAAATGTCCTGTGCGTCCCTTGCCTTTGTTTTTGTTTGGGTTGTCATGATGTTGTCGCGATGGTGTTTGAGGATACGCCAGGACACAATGGGGGATGAGCTGTACCGGTGCATTCGTGTTGACGTCATCAGCGCACGGTTAAATGAACACTTTTTCGGATCCATCGCAGGTCAAAGCACTGAGCGTGCACACGTTCTATAATTTATGACTTTCTGACAAGACTTGGGGGGGGGGAAGGGGAGGGGGATGGGGAGCAATAAGCAATGAAACAATATGTGCACGAACTAAGGACATCAGAAAAAAATTAGGCAATATGTGCACGTGATACGGGCATCGGAAGAAATAAGGCAATATGGGCACGTACCAAGGGCATCACAAGAAATAAGGCAATATGGGCACGTGCTAAGGGCATCAGAAGACATGAGGCAACACAAAAATACACACAGAAGAATATGCATTAACAGTTCAATATTTTAGGAGCCATGAAATGGGAAAAATTTTTGATACTGTGTGTCATCATTCCACCGTATCATAATTTGGTGTGCCATCATTCCATCGTATCATAATTTGGTGTGCCATCATTCCACCGTATCATAATTTGGTGTGCCATCATTCCACCGTATCATAATTTGGTGTGCCATCATTCCACCGTATCATAATTTGGTGTGTCATCATTCCACCGTATCATAATTTGGTGTGTCATCATTCCACCGTATCATAATTTGGTGTGCCATCATTCCACCGTATCATAATTTGGTGTGCCATCATTCCACCGTATCATAATTTGGTGTGCCATCATTCCACTGTATCATAATTTGGTGTGCCATCATTCCTACATATCATAATTTGGTGTGCCATCATTCCTCCGTATCATAATTTGGTGTGCCATCATTCCTACATATCATAATTTGGTGTGCCATCATTCCACCGTATCATAATTTGGTGTGTCATCATTCCACCGTATCATAATTTGGTGTGCCATCATTCCTACATATCACAATTTGGTGTGCCATCATTCCACCGTATCATAATTTGGTGTGCCATCATTCCACCGTATCATAATTTGGTGTGTCATCATTCCACCGTATCATAATTTGGTGTGCCATCATTCCTACATATCACAATTTGGTGTGCCATCATTACTACGTATCATAATTTGGTGTGCCATCATTCCTACATATCACAATTTGGTGTGCCATCATTCCTACGTATCATAATTTGGTGTGCCATCATTCCTACGTATCATAATTTGGTGTGCCATCATTCCTACATATCATAATCTGGTGTGCCATCATTCCACCGTATCATAATTTGGTGTGTCATCATTCCACCGTATCATAATCCAAGATTTGCAGGTACGCATGGGAACGTTGTTTATATATGTTAATTTTTGGGGGGGCTATTTTTTATTTTTATTTTCTAAGAAATATATACGTATTATTATAGAGGGAAAACATGTGGGAGGGGGACTTTCATGAGCTCTCTGCTGAAAAGTATTTTTCCAATAGTAACTGGTTGATTAATGCTTAGCCAATAAATTTTTACAATAATCATGTATTATGTGTAGAATTGTGCAAGACTAATTCCAGTTATTTGCCAAAATGCATTATCTCCCCTATATTTCGCTCGTAAGCCTTCGACACCCTCAAATTCTGCACACACCCTACCCACCCCTCCCCCCCCCCCCCCCCCCCCCCCCCCCCCCCCCCCCCCC